TGAGTAGAACTTACGTTTCCATTGAATTCCACATAGCCTTGCTTCCCACAGCTAGTCTTACTCTCAAAACACTACTTATGAGAGAAAGATAACTTTGAAATCATGCTTTAAAATTATCAACTGAGTAAAAATTTGTATTAGATTTTAGCAAGGATTAAATAAACACAGTTATTGAAGGCGGATTCAAACTGTTGGTCCTTCTATCTCTAAAGGATATTATAACTTAAGGAATATGTTTCTTAATCTTACTTTTACTCTATTATCATTCCTAATGAGAGGTGGGTACGATGCTAGAAGAAGGCATGATAAACATGGGTAAAACAGGGTAGGTCATTTGAAGTCTCTATTAATCATAGTTTAAAGACATTTGCTAAAACTATATGTGTATGTGTTAGACGTTTCAACATAATCCCCAAATGATAAATGCCTATGCTGTCTTCGGGCTTTGTGAATTATTGTAAAGCATGATGTCCTGATCTGAAGCTTTCCGTCACATGATAGATGAAAGCCCAGAAAAGATCCATCAGGGTCGCAAAGCGGTGCATCGAGGACCTATTCGTCCAAATCTACAATCACAGCTCTAAGACAATCCCCCTGCAGATTCCGGTGAGACGAACGTATGAATTCTTTTCCACTCGTCTCAATCTATTAAGGGATTCTTCGAGAACCAGTTTTCCTATATAGACAATATTATCAACTTGCCGGGAAATATCTTCATTTGTTTTGCTGTAAGGGAGTTGTGCACTATGTTGTCTGTATCTTTAAATAAAAATTGGGCTTAATTAATCCCCTAATATTTGAGTATTAGTCTTTCTGCGCCTCGTGTGATAATATAAGGCGGAAAAATTCCAGAGTCGATCACATCTGATATTACCTTTTTTCAAATTTAGGTTGGCAATAACCGAACGTCCTCCTCCTTCGGTTTCGTTAAAAACGCGCAGATATTTTGCCGATTCGGTGCAAGTTTACGATGCAGCTGGGCATTTATTTGTACTATCCCTACTTGCGATACATACTTCATTTAATAAAATCCCATCAATAAGAATGAAATCATTTGGTTGGCCCATTTTAATGTCCTTGTGAGTATATGAGTCCTTGCTGAGCTTTCGTCCGTCATGTGACACATTGTCAGAACAGGATACCACGCGTCACGATAATTCACCAAGCAAAAATACAAGAAAGTTGGCCGGTTGCAGTCCTACTAGCTTTTTATAGTTTGGCTAGATCCACTTAATGAGACATTTCATGATTTGGTTGGAGATCCTATGCCTTTCCTATATGCTGTTGAAAAGTGAAGTGGCTGTAAATGAAGCGTGAAATGGACCGAACAGCTGAATCCTCCACACAGCATTTATCTTTTTTGTTTGATCCTGCAATGGGGCCGTATGTGATTGCGTTCCATTGCACTGTGTTGTCTGCATGAAATGCTCGTGTGTGCCCTATCTCTTTCTAATCCTATCCAACAGTCTCAGGTAGTTTCAACTTACTTTCCTACACTCATTCCTTCTATTCAGGGTGTTGATTGTTTAGTTGATTTATGTAGATTCCCTTATTTTCCGCTTATAGTAATTACTGTCGGAGGCTCTTGGCTCAGATGACTTTTTTTAGTTGGAAACAGTGGCAGACAAATTATATGACAGAATTTTTAGCAGGTTAGGATAAACCATAATAGAAAACTTAGGAATTTGGGTACAAGAATTAAGGTAGAGAGCTATTTTGGGACAGTTAAGGTAGATTTAAAGGAGCAGATTAAAGTAGGAGAGAAAGTGGTAAACCTATCCAAAGCAGCTTTGGACTTGGCGCAGAGAAAGTTCTTTCGAAAGGTTTGAACTTTGCGTTGCCAAGCGGTAAGTATAGTAAGGAATAAAATTGGTAAAACTCATATTTTGTTGGCCGTTTGCCTGAAGAAACTAGAAATGATATTGATTTACAGGTTGTCCCTTTAATTGGTAGTCATGTAGAGGTATCCCAAAGGAATAATAATAATTAAGAAAAACCAAGCGACCAGGAACAAATAGTATTAAGGGCAGACAATGGAGGAGCAGTGGTAGTTAGGTATAGGGTTAGATATGTAGAATAGATGATGAAAGTACTATTTGATGGCTTAACGTACACGATTATCGATAAGGGTTGCACAGAAAACCTTGACGTCAAGACTCAGGAGTTGCCTACAACATTTTATAGCAAAGGGGGAATTGAAGAAGTGGAAAATTAATACACTTCTTAAACGAGATGCCGGGCCTCTGAATGCATATGGTCTGCCCAAGATACATAAGGAAGGAATCCCCAGTCACTAGCAGGATGCATAAAGCATCAACAAATAAAGCAAATATCCGAGGCATGGCATTTTTCAGTAAGAAACTCCTATGAATTCGTCTAGTTAGTCGATGAACAGAGAATAAAAGGTGGATATTTGCTTGTTAATGTTGATGTAAAGTCGATCTAAACCAATGTTCCTGCAAGCCGAGCTAATCAGGCTATAGAATTAAGTTTATACCGAAACACGGATATTCTGAGACATACAAATTCAGATGAGGAATCAATATTGAGGCTGACGAATTTGGTAATGAGCTGTACATATTTTACTTTCAATAATAAGCTATACGAACGAACACAAGGCTTAGTTATAGGATCATGTTTGTCCCAATTTTAGCAAATAACTACATGGTTCAATTAGAAAGTCAATTAGAAAGCACTTTTAGTTCCTAAATTATCGGTTAGATAATTGGATTACAACTTTTCTGTATGGCAATATGGCAAAGAAAGCCTAAGAGAATTCCTAACGCTTTTTCAAGCCATACTTATGGGTCTAAAGTATGGGTCATTTAATCCATAAACAAAAAGAGGCCTGCGTTCTGCAGATGATAACCACCGGGAGCAGAAGCTGAAGATGTTAAGAAAGAATTTAGTCGAGAACGATTACAAATAAGGATTAATTAAAAATTGCTTTAAAATACTAGCGAATAGGGTGGAGGCAAACATCTATTTGGGGCAAGGTAGGCAACTTGACAAGTCGACTATGGACCTGATGTCACCGTCGTACCAGCTTTAGAAAAAGATAGGTGAACTTGTGAGGTAGTTGGATATGAGGGCAATTTATAAAAAGAAAATAACATTTTCCTCAGAAATGCCATCTTTTCGGGAAATTCCGGATTCACTTTCCAAATCGGGCTGCTATAAGGCTTTGTATTTATGTGGTAGCGTCTATGTAGGAGAGACCTGCCGACCGATACGTAAGATTTTATCTGAACATAAAACAGCCCGCATTGCTTTGGGGGTCCAAAAGTCAGAACCGGCAGAATACATAGCTTGCACAGGACACCAGATAGACTGATTTAAGGCCAAACGCATAGCTGTACATGAAGAGTATACCAGTAAGCTGAAAATTAGGGAATCTATAGAAATTACCAAAATAGCAAACCCTTTAAATAGAAGAAATGAGTGTAGAAAATGAAGCTTGATTAGCCTCAAATCTGATTTTCACTCCACACGTCTCACAAGCATTGCATGCACACAACACACATACAATGGAACGCAATCACATGCGGCACCATTGCAAGATCAAACAAAAAAAGATAAATGCTTTAGGGGAGGATGCAGCTGTTCGGTCACAAAGGCATCCGGTTCACGCTCCATTTGCAGCCACTTTACAGGTCATCCGCAGTCACTTCATTTTTCAACAGCATGTAGGATTGCAACTGGCGCTCGGTCATTGACGATGTCCGTCACATGACGAACGTAAGCTCAGCATGAATCCATCGGCAAAGCGATGTGAAGAAGACCTATTCGTACAAATCTACAAGCACAGCTCCAAGGCTATCTCCATACAGCTTCCAGTTGGGACAACTTACGAATCCCTTCTATCCAAACGAAATGAAAAGCACTCTAACATGAATTTATTAAAGGATTCTTCAAAATAATGCTTTTGTGAATCTACTCACGATTAATTAAAGAAAAGTTTTAAGTTTGACAGTGACAGATCGATTAAATGAATATATTGGCAGAGTCAATCAATCTAGTAATTAGGCTCCTCGTAAGAGATAGTAACATCAAAAATTTTGAAACCTGCTCCTTTATTTATTTCTTACTTGTTAACTTCTCTATTTTCATGTATTTATACTGTATATAATTATTTTTAAGGTATAATTATTTTTTAAATGTCTTACTTTTATCTCCGTTGTATACAAATAGGCAAAAGTCCTGCGGGTCAAAGAGGCTCATTCGAAATGCAATAATGTTGCCTGTGGTATAGATAAAATTGTAAAAAATTAAAAATATTTCGATTTCAGTTTGGCCGAGCATTAAATACAGCACTTGAAAAATAATAGAATTGTTACATTATTCAGCGTTTATTTGACCTCGTCTTTGCAACTTGGTCGAAGCGGCAGGAAGACTTTGTGAAACGTACCTGGTCCTACGTCCTTTTACAAAAAAGACTGGAAATATACCAAGTTAACAATCTGATGCGTAGTATAGTAGAGGATGCAGGACTATTTTCGGTCTACAAGGTCTCCCTGCAGTTCCTATCAAGTTGTGAAAATGAGATCGAACGTGACACATCGTAGCTATGACAACCAAGATGGCGTGGCCTGCTGTTTGGTCGCAGTTTCCTTTAACTTTATATTGTTGGTTCGAACTTGTTTTCGCAGCTTGGTCGGGGCCTCAAGTAGACATTGTGGAACGTATTTAGTGCCGTGTCCTTTGCCATAGCATTCGTTATTTCCAGCAATGTACCATTGGCTGGGTACATTCCCAAAGGTTTCGCCAGACATTATAAAGTTAAAGAAAACGACGACAAATTTAGGGTTAGTCCATCTTGGTCGCTGTATCTCCGATCTAAAACAGTTAAATTGTATAGTAGCTGGTCGTATGTGCATAAATAAAAATGCTTGAGACTAACAACGACCTATCATGAGTGATTGAGAAAATTTGATAAAATAAAAGTCGAGTTGGAGTTGGACCTAATATTTGGATAGATCCTAATTTGATGCCCAAAGTTGTCAAAATTTAGCAAAATCTATTGCTGTGAATTTTGTTCCAATACAGAAGAATGGCACAAAGTGAAGATCTACGTCAATAAGATAAAATGCAAGGTAAATGAGGAAATGTATAAATCACATAAATAGGCTAACTTACAGAGCTCCTTGGCAGTCAGATTGAGGCGAATAGGATAGAATTCTTCAACCAGACGACTGACACGTTCATCCACGACTAAAACACGTAACAGTAGACCACCCTCTTCAACACTAATGGGATCCACAGTCTCCTGTTTAATTCCTCTACTCACCATATCGCCTCCCACTACCAGTCCGTCATTGGCTCCAGAAAGGTTGACGTCAGTCGATGCCTTTGAAGACTTGGATGATGCAACACGATCCCGATTATATTGTGCACCGGGACCGCGGAGTGCAACAGGACGCCAACCGTGGCGAGGAGGGGGAGACTGAAGGTGATTATAGCGTTGAAGATGCCTTGGAAGATGAGAGTTTCTTGGATGCTGGAGGCGGTCTCGTTTTCGTTTGAATTGGGAAGGAGAAGCTGGATTAAGAGAGGGTGATGCCATCTGCTTGGGGTCAACTGTTATAACCTGGAAGAGTCTATCGGCCGGCTGTTGAGACTGTGGCGCCATACGACCGATCGGGTGGCAGACTCGGCTTCGCTGATTTCGGACTGGTGGTTCGGGTTTATCTGAACAAGGAGACCTTATGGTAGTAGCCAAATCCATGACTGCCGCTTGGTTGACCAACAATGGGGAATCATTTGAGGATGGCTGAGAGGGCAAATGTTGAGGTCGAGATGATTGGGGAGGTTGAGGTGCTGGAAGCTTGTGGGAAGACGTCAAAGCCTTTTGAAAGAGCTGATCATGCAGCTGCCTGACGGGCGGCTTGGGCGAGTGTGGTGGTGTTGAAGACGAGGATTGGAGCAGCAATTGCTGACCGCTAAGAGAACTGTCACCGGAAGTGTCTGCTGAAGCTAGTAAGCCATTTATGGCAAACGCTCTAGCCACGTCTGATGTCGGTGCACCACTAACTGTTTTGCGTCTTCCTAACATCCATCGTCGCCGCGGAAGCACTGGTGGTTTGGGAGAAGCGGAAGTTGGTCCCGTTGCAGATGTACTCTCTGGACTATGCTCACCCACAGTGTGTAGGTCGGATGAGGCCTCTTCTGTTGTTGTGCCGCCTTTCGAAGGTTCTCCGAGGTGAGGCGAATCGACTCGATCACTCGTTGCGAAAGCTGAATGACTATAGGCAGTGTTGGACTGGTTCAAGTGCCACAGGGACGCAGATAGAAAGCAGGAATGGGGAAGATTAACCCTTACAAAGGAATGTGCCTAATGATCATTGGTGGCTTGTTAACACAGATTGTACAACTGCAGCCTAAGGTGAAGCAAAAGGTGATTTCATCACTACAGCTCTATCCTTCGAAAGCCAATTAAATACAGTTGCTTAAGGTTAGTTTAGAACTGAGGCTTAAGCTTTCCCAAAATGAGATGATGAGGGCAAACAATTTAATTTAGCCTTTCCTAGCAAAATCTTATCTAGTCAAGGACGAATTGCAGTTTATACCTCTTCTAGGTCCTATAAACAGTTCCGGCGAGATCAGATATAGGGTCGTGAGTATCGTAGCGATATTATCACTCCGTTCGACGCCATGGCCATGGGTGCCAGTGGATCAAAAGTTAAGTGCAACAAGGCAAGCCGTGCCTCTACCAACTCATATTTGTAGATACATTTTCAATCAAGCAAATATTTTTTTACAATTCCAATCAATGACATAAGTAATTTTTGAAAATTACTTATATATAATAAGTAAAGTACTCGATTACAATAGCAAACACATGTTTGCTTAATCGAAAATACGATCATAAAAATGTGAATTTGGAGTAGCCAGGCCTGCCTTGTCGCATCTACCTTGTGGCCCATTCGTACCGTGGCCGTGAAGTGAAGTGATAAAATCGCCACGATACTTATGACCCTGTATCCGATCCCGCTGGGGGTGTTTATGGGACCTATTCAAAGTCGAAAATACTGCGATAGTCCATTCTGGAGGAGATGAGCTTTTGGGAGGCAAGGCTAAATACAATTAAATGGAATCATGAGGCTTACTCGTCTTGGTGTGGGATAAAAACTCAACTATCAATCATTAAATCCCTTAAGTGAAGTACTGATAGGCTCAAGGACTTATATTCTAAAAATAGTTGGTTAAAACAGGATTATATATGAAGAATGTAAACTATGACGAAAATCTAGGATGCTAAGAGGCCCTTAGTGGGTTACTATTACTTTACTTTACAGTTCGATGGGAAATTTGGCAGGACGGTATTAGTGAATTGGTGTCACATGAAACAAAAGTGGGATCTCTGCAGAGTGAAGATTAATATATTGAGTAAAGAAGACCTCAGTTCACCATCCTACGACCCCGATGAGATCTTGCTGAGCTTCCGACTTCAATGTGACTAACATCATCAGAGCAAGCTTCCGTACTTTACGGGCTAACCCAATAATATGTTAAACCAAAAAAGGTGGCCGTCTGCTAACCTGGTTACTTCTTATTCCTAGTCTTGCGATCGTAAGGGGGAATCTCATGATTTGTTTGGCTAATTCATGCTTATTCTACATGCATGTTGATGGGTGAGGTTAATTCATGAACAGCAAGTGGATACAGTAGCGAGTCTTTCCTTATATAAGCAAACTAGCGTACGATAGTATAATTCTGATACGGGTTTAGGCATGCGTTATTGTCCATTTCGTGTATGTAATGTTCATGCAATGGGAGGTATAATGGCTGTAATCAGGCTTAAGTCTATACTAATTTACTTATCTTGCTTAGGGGTTCTTTCTGCTCTTTCTCTCTCTTCAGTTTCTTCAGGTTATCTGTTGGTCATAAAGAATCTTATTCAGGATGTTGTTTTGTTAATTTCTGGTTAATAGCTAATCTAGTGCTTTGATGTGGGGCCCCTTAACCTGCAAGACTCTGCGTTTTGGAACATTCTATAAGGTGTCCAGATGTACGGACACACAACTTTATATGGCGTTTTGTTTATTATTAATCGTTTTTGAATGATTCGGCAGGTCTCACATAAGTACAAAATATTGTAACAAGCTGATCTAGAAGGAGGATACGAAGATTCTCGAAAAAAAGTACTAATGAAGGTGTTTGTTTAACTGCGAGCATTGTTCAGACGTTCCACTTCCAAAACAGCATCCTATTTAGGAGAAACGAGTATGAAAAATTAAGTACGAATCCTTTATTGCTGAGCTTACCTCCATTTCTAGTGAAAGCGAATGGTAAAGAGATTCGAAGGTCGATCCCATCAGAAGACGACGACGGATTCCTCTTGACCGGCCGTCGATTTGCTTTACTGGAAGCTTCTTGTTAATGCTGTTTACGAGACTATCTCCTTAGAGCTTGGTGAAAAGGGGATAAGCTTTCGTCCATCATATGACAGACATCAACTATATTCAAGGAAACGACTCAAAAAAACTCACCGGCTCATCCCTAAATGCTAAATATATACTCTATATCTCTTTGATGAGGTATAAAATGATTGCGTTAGTTCAAGTCATATGTCAACCTCAAAGCGTGTAAATGTGTCTGTTTGTGTATGTGCATGTCCGTCATATGGAAGGTGAAAGTTTAGTAGTTTTTCACCGGAATCGAAGGAGATAACCTCGGAAACAGCGTAAACAAGAATGTTTCAGCAAAGCCACTCGACAGCTAATCTGACATCAAATATTTTCACTCGAAATGGAAGTAAACTCAACAATTATGAAACAAGAGATTCCTCGAAACACAACTGCTCTTCTAATTCTTTCTGGCTGCCAGGTCACCTAAAGTAAAAGGCGAGAAAGGGAGAGTGAGAAAGGGAGAGAGAGTAGGAATAACCCCTGTGTAAGAGAAGGAAGTTAGTATAACCTCGAGTCTCGTTAGGCCTAATACATCTTTCATAACATGGACATTACATACACACAATAGACAATAAAGCTAGTTTGTTTATATGAGAAAGCATCCAATTGCTGTTCATGAACTAGCTTCATGTGGAGTAAGCATGAAGTAGCCAAACAAATCATGGGATGCCCCATTACGATCGCAAGACTATGTTGGCAGCTGGCAAACGTTTCTGTCGGTTCATCACAAGATTGCGCTAGCTCGTCAAGTATAGAATCAAGCTCTGATGATGTGTCAGTACAGACGAAAGCAAAGCAAAGTAGGACGATGAGCCAAGGATTTTTTCATGCAATCCAAGAGTCCTTATCATGCGACAATTCTCCTTCGGTTACCAATGAGACAATTTCACGAATTCCTTCTAATTAAATTTTACTTCAGAATGGAAGGTGAAATCACAAAAATGCCTTACTTCGCATTTCACTCTTCTGACTGAGTCGGTCAAGCAGGTGGCCTCCGAGTATGCCGGGGCTGAGGCTGGGCAGGGATAATGTATTCCATTGGCCGGACGATGCTGGACAGCCTCATCGGAGGAATTTGCCAGCCTCTGCAGTCGTCCCGGAAGACGTTCAGATGCAGTCGCGAAGGTGGCGCTGACCGATGAGGCTCCCTTTTCATCCATATTCATTATCTTCGCTGTAACCTCGTCTACCGCAATTGTTGCCGGATTCGCGGGAGGCGTCCATTGCCAGGCTCGCGAGGGACTGAAAGCCCAGTAGAGGGCACCAACCAACTCGTTGAGGCAGCACAAACCGGTTAGCCCAATGCGCTCCGAGATGGCCAGGCCGTCCATAAAGGAGGATTGGAGTCCTAGTGGACAGATAAAGCCGCGAAACACAGTCGGCATTGCGGAATGGACTTGCGGGCTCTCTTGGGCACAAGAATCCGAGACTGTCGTAGGCGCCTCCATGGGTTTCTGCATACTAGTCTTGGTTGGTTCTCCTCGTCCAGAGTCACTGAAGGAGATGGGTGGATCTTGATCATCTGCCAGTTCTGAAATGGTTCAGAAGTTAAGATCAATTTTCATGAAATAGTCGTAATCTGTTCTATGCCAGTGGCGGAGCCAATAGATCTTTGCCGAATCAAAGCATCGTTTGAAGGGATATGATGCATTTGGCTTGAGGCAACCGCGATTCAACATGCCACTAGGAGGAGTATGCTGTTTGGTAAAGCTTGATGAAGGCTCATTTAGTCAGGCAAAAAGTGAAAAATGTACCGTATTTTCCGGCGTATAAGACGACTTTTCACACCATTAATTTCTGCTCCTAAGGGGGGCGTCGTCTTATACGCCGAGTGTAGCTTAGGAATATCAAATTCATTAGATGGTATGAAGGACGACTACTTGTGGCAAGATGAAGAGGAAGTCGAAGCTGAGAGCGCGCCATCTAATACCTAATTCGATCCATATAACGACTGCCTTGCAAATGTATCACAAAATGTCATTGATGAACTTATGATATCAGATGACGAACAGGAGGATTTTGGAGGCTTGTAAAAGGGAAACTGTCACGCTAGCGAAAAATACCATAGCTTGCAGTTATGATGCATGCAACTCGCCTGTGACTTGCCCAGCACTTGCTCTCTCTCTATTGTTTGTTAACTTCCTCCTATCATTGTCAATTCTAGTTTAGTTTATAGCTTATAAAACAAACAGTATGGCAGCTCCCACACCTTTATTGTGTTATCCTTTCATTCAGCTTTTGAGTTTAATCCACTTGTACTTATGCTTACGGTACATGTTTGATGACATTCAGCCTTGTGTTTATAAGTGACAATTTTGTTGCTTTGAATAAAATTACCACGTTGAAATCAAACCTGATGTTCTTATAAATTTTATTTGGTGTTCGGATGAGGGGATAGTCTTAGACGGCGAGTATATAACAAAATATATATTTTGACTGGATAAGTCAGGGGGTCGTCTTATACATTGGAAAATACGGTACATGATGACCAGCAAAAGCGGTAATCTCTTCATTTCCACTATCCCCATCCATCTTCATTATCCTTAGGGTTTATCAGATCTAAGCAGCTAACCTTAACCCAGAGTTAAATAATTTATTTAATCTGGGGCATAGGACGAACTACTCTATGCGTTTTAGTCATATTATCAAAGGAATTAATTAATATACATTCTACGCAAGAAAAATATTTTTCTTAGCTATTGTGCGACTTATTTCAAGGGGTAATAACTGCAGCTTTGCTAAAAATGATGTTGGGAGCTTAAATCCAGGCTAATGCGTACTTGCTCTATTTTAGGATTACATCCTTTTATAGGTGCTGTTTCGTTCGTTCATGTCTTCCTACAAAATAGAGAATCAACTATTCTTGCTATGATAGTGGCTCAAGTAATAGTTATTAGACGCACCATAAAAATAAAAATAAAGTTTTTTTTGCATTGTTTGATATTCTTACACTTCTTACTGCCTGGACAGAAAGCTAGAGTAAGAAAGCTATATACATTAGCAAGCGAAGCTGCATTGCAGAATGTATCTCTTGCCTAACTTCCTTAGAGCGTTAAAAAGGAGCAGAAGGAGAAAGAATACTTACCCGTCTTCTGCTCTGACTGTTGTGCATTGGCCAGTGAGGTAAGTAGCTCCACAGCTACAGACCTGAACTTATTTGAAAAAGCTTCTTCACGAGGAAAATGCCCAAGTAGTATTCCAGCTCTTGCAAAAAACCAAATGTAGATTGGTCTGTGGTCTACAGTGGAGCAAGAAATTTGAGAGCATGTTATAGTTAAGATCAGTATAAAAGTTCATTTAGGTTAAATCAGCATCAGAATAGGAAAATTGACCAAAATTTCACGAGTGATTATCTCAGCTTGTTGGTACATGCAATCGGAAGAAAATACATTATTTAAAAGATTAGTAATTGGCCGGACTTATTTATTTAATTTATCATTATTTTGCCAAAGATTCTAGTAAACTAGCTTATTTTGGTTTCGAGAACAAAGTCCTGACTGACCCTTATTTTTTAACCACTTTATAATTGGACATCATTCTCACGAAAATGTCAAGCCAATACCGAGTGATGAAGACTGGCGTAGTATACATTCCTTTCTCATACATGAAGAGTGATTAATCATTTAGCTAGTCTAATCATGCGTCTGTATTAGTCTGTGTATCCGTGTTCAACTATCTATGCTTGCGTGTATTGGAGAAAAAGGATACAAAAATAGCCCATGTTTGTGGTCTGATGAATACGAAAATTGCATTGATGCGTTGAAATAGCTGTTATAGTGGCTAAACAATGGACGCCTAGTTACTGAACGGAGTCATAAGGGTCATTGGATAAGCGTTAGTTGAGCTATCTATTAATGAGATAGCTAGTCTTCTTCCGTGTGTATGGGCCTGTGGAAAATGCCACTATGTGATGTACAAAGTGTCCTCTATGGCCCCAAACAGGAACGATTCGCCTCCTGAAAATTTGTTCGTACTTGACAAATAATATGGCGTTAAGTGTCCCCCAAAGTAGTCAACCTTAAAGATTACCAGGATGGTTCTTTATATTCAATCCAAATGTTGTATAGATGTGTTTGGTGCAACTGGAATTTTCTTAGAATATATAATTTCATGGAAGAATCGATTGTAAGATTTAAGAAGTTAGCTTAATTTCAGTTTTACGAGATGATCACATATGGATGGGGATTCGGCGAAGATAACAAGTATTTAGTCCAGTTCCGTGTTATTTATTCCAACTTTTGTAGTTGAACATTTGCCAGGAACATTCCAAGTCGCCTTATTAACGTTAAGGTATAATTTCCATCACGAAAATTCATAAAAAGCGAGGGAAACAACACCACAATTGTCAGCCCATGGCTGGCTCCTGACTGATGATACCAGCTAAACTTAAGGATATAAGAAATTTGTTTACACAATGATCTGATTCATTCAGGAATGATTACCATAACACTATATTTTATCTCTAAATAATTTTAGTAACTATGACCAGGTTGGTAAAGCAAGGTCAAAACAACGTTACACTGTAACTATGACAGCTATTACAATGTGGTCTTAACTTTGCTCTAAATCTCTACTTCTACTCATGAAACACATTCAGTGTCCTGACAACATCAGAACTTAAACCAAATGCATCCCCGAAAAATTCGTAGCCAGCCTATTGGATATCGTCAATGAGAGGGCTATCCATTATCATAACAAGAAAAGTCAATTCCATAGAATAGCATTCAGTTTAACGCTTATGGCACTTCTTTTCCCCAAAATCTGATAGCGTCTCTATCTCCTTGACCTATATCTTCGTTTCTGAATCCCCGTTCCCATAGCCAAGCCTCATCTACACCTCGATTTGCACTTTAGCTCCATCGGCTACACTCGAGTTAAATATAAACAAATGAATAATATGGTTTAATATGCAGGCCATAAATTATCGGCCTAACTCTTCGTACTTTACCAACAGAAGACATGCTTCAAGGGGGATTATACTAGGAGAAATAGACAAGCCATGGGTAAAGTTCCCTGACCAAAATACATTAGCAGGAAATCGGTAAAATTTTTTATTACTCAAGAAGTCATTAAAATGCAAAATGATACATTGTGGATTAATCCGATCGATTACTTTAACTAATCTTAAACAGCTATAAATTTACATACATTTAGTGCATTTCTTTCTTTTAGGCATTTAGGTTAAAAAATAGGGATGAAGACCGGGATTCTAATACGTTAAAGCTGATACTGTACAGCCCAGGCGTTCTTTATATCTTGCTGACAACTATCATATATTCAGCTAGAAAGTACGCGAATCCACCTTATTAATTAGAAAGCCTTTGAAATCAGTCTTTTATAAGTTTTTACGAATACTTTCTCAAATTAAATACTTGAGGATGTGACGCCTCCTGCGAGAAAAATTAATCAAAGTTAAAATAACCTTTAGCTTTGGAACCAGCTAGAAAACGTCGACAGGACAATGGAACCCATAAAAAACTAATGAGATGATAGTTTATACTTAATTTGATCTGAAAGATCTGAAATAATTGAGCCGAACCATATTAATACTCGTTATACTATTGATTAAAGACCCTTTCAATACTTATGAGACTTGTGGATTTCCTTTAGGACTATTCACAATAGTAACAAACCAAGTATGCATATGCTTGTCTCACCCTGAAGAACAGAAGTTTTGGATCCCATCGACTTGTTTGAGCCAACGGAGATGACCTGACGAAAAAGGAGTAAAAATTTGCCAGAATAAAGTAAAGATACTGCTGTGTTTCGAAACGGTCAAAATAGTCAAACTCCTATCCAGAGGGTAGTAACCCAAAGACAAACTACATTTAACATATAACTCGTAAATACCATGGAAGCAAATTAATTCGAGCGTCAAGATACTTCAGTAGGAAATTTTTGGCATAAGATGGCGATACGCTTTTATAATAGTGAGCGAATAATTGAATTTAATCAAAATTATAAGCAATAATAGTAGTATAAATAATATTTGGAAAAAAAGATCAAACTAGCACCCCTATCGGCTTAGTTATTCCGTTTCCATGCCATATTATACTAGG